GAGCAGAGCGGCAGGGTTAAAAGTAACCCCGCCGCTCCATGTATACAGGGGAGAGCAGCATTCCTCTCTCACCTTGCACAGGAGTTCCAGCACAGTGCTGTGCTAGAACTCCTGTATTGGAGGTGACGGTGTCAATAAAGAGAACCTGTCGCCTCCAAATGCTATCGCACAGGAGCTTGTTAGCTCTTGTGTGATAGCAATAAAGTTAAGTGAAATGTTTTTTTAATAAAAAATGATTACATCAAATAAAAAGTAATAATAATTAAATTAAAAAATAAAGCAATAAATAAAAAGTAAAAAATAATAAGAAAATAATTATACATAAAAAATAATAAGATAAAACATTATTAAAAAAAATTTAAAGATGACAAGATAAATATAAATGTAAAAAAGTAAAATTAAAAAAAAAAAAGAAACAATTAAAAAAATTCAAACTAAACCTGCCACCCCCGCTATCTGGTGGACATTCTTTTTCCCGGGGGCACGCATTGTGGAAACTGGCCTTGGGGCAGCGGGGAGCGTAAATCCGGTCCTGCCCGTCTGTTCAGCATATGCTCTATTTTTTGGTGGAAGGTTGCGGCGCCGCTGTCACTGCCGAGAGGTCGTAGAATACAAGTTTATTTATAGTGACTTTTTTTTTTTGCAGGCCAACAAAAGGTGCGAGGAGGCTCGGCAGGAGAAGGAGGCCATGGTCATGAAGTATGTCCGGGGGGAGAAGGAGTCCCTGGACCTGAGAAAGGAGAAGGAGGCTCTGGAGAGGAAGCTGAGGGAAGCCAACAAGGAGATCGAGAAACACAACAACAGGATCAAACTGCTAACTCAGGAAAAAGGCCGACTACACCAACTGCACGAGGCCAAGGTAGACGGGAGGCCGGGACCAAACAAATGTTACACAACGCTGAATCACATCTAGACGCGTGATGGCGCAGTGCTGGAGGATGTGTCGGCTTAGCAGATCAGCACTGAATTATTTATTGTGTTACCATGAGATATCTATGTACTGCAGACTCCATTCATATAGAAGTGTCAGATCCACACCCAATAAGATTATATGCCTCCTGCCCACCTGTACTGCATACAATCCATAGGCACCGGTCATGTGACCGCAGCAGAAGTGGTGAAAGGAGAACTATGAGGTGAGTGATTTCCACTCACCTCATAGTTCTAGCCGACCGGTGACAATGAGACTGTCACAGGTCGGCTCAGTAGATCGGGAGGTGAGAGAACACATACCGGCGTTCGCTCACCTCTCGATCCTGTCACGGCTCTCTGCCGTGACAGGGGAGGGGCTGGATTCCCCTCTCCCCGCTCCGATCTGCCAGCGCTGACTGGCGGAACGGACGGGGGAGGGGGCGGGTACAGCTGGCTCTGCCTCTAGATAGGCAGAGGCAGCTGTCACTCACGCAGCTGGGCTGATCCCGACGTCTAAGTCGGGATCCGCTCCTGCTGCGCGGTCTCAGTATACCGCGAGCTGGAGCTCCCTATATACTGAGCCTAGGGTGACGGGAGGACGCTAGTTTGTGTCCTCCCGTTACCCTAAGGAGAACTATGGGGGGAAGCCCTGACCTCATAGTTCTCCTTTAAATGGAGTTATTTGTGGTAGGCCTGCCTGAACCCTGATCCTGGTGAAGGAAAAGTGGGAGCATCACACCAGTGGGTTGGAGTCAACAAGTATTTGTTCAATTAAAGCTCAGCACTGGGCAAAAAATATCCTCCCCTTCCACCCCACTCCCAACTCACCCTACACCCTTCTTTTTTTTTCTTGTGAAGCAAGTTGTACCCGGCTAATCCCCCATCCAGGTTCCTCGACAGCACCATTTCAGGACCATTTATCTAACGCTGCCTGCCAGGTCACCTTCATCCTGTGTATGCACCTTGGCTGCACTCATTCTTATAAGGAGCCAAGTTCATGGATGCTTCATGCAGGGTCTTCCTCCTATAGCAGGGGTGAGCAAATTCGGGTCCTCCAGCTGTGGTGAAGCTACAGATCTCATCATGCATCTGCCTCTGGGAGTCATGCCTGTGGCTGTCGGAGACTTGCAATACTTAATGGAATTTGTAATTGCACCACTGCCGGAGGGCCAGAGTTGGCCTAACGCAGCCCCATAGGATGAAAAGGGGCTGCCATGAGAGTCTTGCAATAACTTATGGCATTTGTAGTTGCACCACCCTGCAAAGTGGCCACATTGAAAGGCTCCAGGCAGGGATGCACAGTAAAGATCACTTGAACAGGGACAGAGGTAAGTATTGGACCAGGTGGACTGGCGCTGACTGGCGGAACGGACGGGGGAGGGGCTGGATTCCCCGCTCCCAGCGCTGACTGGCGGAACAGCCGGGGGAGGGGGCGGGTACAGCTGGCTCTGCCTCTAGATAGGCAGAGCCAGCTGTCACTCACGCAGCTGAGCGGATCCAGGCACAATTGTCGGGATCCGCTTCAGCTGCGGTGTCTCAGTATATCGCGAGCTGCAGCTCCCTATATACTGAGCCTAGGGTGCCGGGAGGACGCTAGTTTGTGTCCTCCCGTTACCCTAAGGAGAACTATGGGGAAAAACACTGACCCCATAGTTCTCCTTTAAAGGGAATGTCCAGATATTGGGAAAGGTCAGCAGGAGGTAAGTGTGATGCTTTAAATACATTTCCCTCCATGCTCCAAGCTTCTGGAGATCTGTGCCTGGAGTGCAGCAGTACCGTCCGCTCACACATTTTGGAACACACTTTATTATTTTGTGCCCCTTTTATTAAGTTCCGAAGATTTTGCAAAACTTATTGGAGCTGGCTCCTGGATTTTGGGATGATTTATTCAGAACTGATTTATATTGGGCCTTCTGATCGTATTCAAATGAAGACTTTAAAAAGTGTAATTATTCCCCTCAGCAAGTTCAGTGGGCTCAGCCGGAGGATCTCCGTCCTTTCCTGCCGTCATTAGTCTCCGGAGTCTTTGATTTTTGTAAATTTAGAACTAATTATAGAACTCTGTCTATTCTAAATGCGCAGCTCACTGACGTTACTTTACCAGGAAGTTAAATCGATGTGGGGGG